CTTATAGAAATTTAATATACAATATACTGAACTATAATTTTTAATTACTTATTTAGAGTATTAAAAAGCACTATCGTTCGGTGTTTTTAATACTTGATAAGTAATTTCCAGAATTAAATTGGCCAGTATTAAATTGGGATTTTTGTAAGGGCAGTAAATCCAAATCTACAAGATCAATAGCGCGCTACTCTCCTTGACGTAGACTCTACGTTTTCAAAAGAATATTATCGTGAATATCTACGTCATTCCTTGTACAACTTTTCAAGGTAACCCGGATATAAAACATTTCGTGCTTAACGAGTTCCGCTATATAATTACGGCAGTAACAACATACAAGAATTACCAGTTTTGTTAACATGAGATTTCTCTACGAAAAATGCATATGACGATAAAAAAATTTTCTGCCATACCCAATTCGTTATGTTAGTAATTCATAAACAATAATGAGGATATTGTAGATAAAATACTCTTACAGCTTCGGTGACGTAATTAGATAAACGATATACTTAATCGGTTTTTTACAAAGATTATAGGTATGATATAACTAGAAAAGAATGAAAGAAAATAATGAATTCCTGCTAATTGTTCGCAGACGGAATGATTATCCTTTAAAGATATGGATTTTATTCCGTTTCTAAACCAATTTCCGTAATTCGTTTCTTAAAAAGAGAAGAAAAAGATTCAAAATAAAATTAAACTTGACAAATAACTTTGCATGTAGGCGGTTCGTTCTTTGTAATGATACGTGTCGTGAAGAGATCATCTATTCTGGACTCTTGGACTTGTCAGCGGACTATTCTGATGCGCGGTCATAAAATATAATTGTAACCAAGGTTTCAACCAATGCATTGTGCATCTTTCCGCACGTAAATTTCCGGTTACACAAGGAACATCCGGATAATCATAGCGTGCATGTGCCTTCCGTGCTCAAAACCTATAATTGTGTTTTTCTTATGCTTAGTTACCCAGCCGCTACAATTTATTCAAAATTCAATAAACAACATTTCAATATTTGCCAGTATAAAGACGCACGCGTATACTCACTCATCTTTATATATATTTCGTATATCTTTATAGTTACGTGTATTTTGCGACATACACGTATCCGCGCGCGCACACACATTAGCGACAATCATCTCGGTATACTTCATCCACTCGCAATTAATTGAAGGCAATCCCCATTGTCAATGTCTGTCGATCGATGATCAGCATCCACTAAGAAGACCTTGAATTCCAGCGACACTTTTACCGTGCGCGGGCGACGACGGTGCAGTGCTGAGTCAAGTCATGATCGGATATACGTAGAAAACCACTTGGCTGATTCAGTTGCGCCGCAGGATAGCGCACACGCGTTGGATTCTACACATTTCAATATATATATGCAAAGAGAATATACACAAACATATATATTAATATGTAGAGAGAGGGGACGGAACCGCGTTCACGTATGACACACGCACGTGGGTACGGGCACACTCCACTTACGTTCATTCATAAAAATTTCAACCTTCGTGGAAGTTGACTTGTCTGGAATTACGAAATTTGTGACTGGGCACTGATTCATCTCATTTACGTTCGACCGGAAGGAAGCGTAATAGCCACAAAATTAAACGTTAATATTTATCCTGGTGAAATACCAGGCTTATGCCCAATTTCTTCACCTCCAGATAAGTTGCGGATAATCTTATCCAGGAAATATTTCCATTGTATTCTGGGAGATATCCCTTGATGAAGTTATTTAGAAGTGAAGAAATTGGGCATTAGGAAAGTATAAGTTCTTATCAACGAGATATGGTTCTGGAAATTCCGTAAGTTACATTTCTCTCTCTCTCTCTCTCTCTCTCTCTCTCTCTCTTAATCTTCTGCCTCAGTCAATCCTCTGTGATTAGAGCATCCGCTAGATTTTCTTCGTTTGTATTCTTTCTTTGAATTATTTTGTTTTATTTTACTAGTATTATTATCTCTTTATATTCTTTCTAGTTTCCTCTCTATTTTTTATTATTTCTCTATATTTTGTCTATTATTTCTCTCTATTTTTATATATGTAAGTATATAGAAGAAATATTCTTTACGATGATGATCTTTTTTTACGGCATTGTAAAGATTTTGAAAGATTATTGTGTTTGAGGGGATATTATCCCAGAACGCAAAATAACGATTCATTCGTTCTTTTCTCTCTCTCTCTCTCTCTCTCTCTCTCTCTCTCTCACATAACACACGCGCGCGCGCGCATGCACGTTATATTTTTTTTCCGCTGCAAAATTTAATAACAAACTTTTATTAACGTAAAAAACATTGAAAAATTGTACAGAATCTGTGATCTAACGATTACTGCATTTATAACACGACAAAAACAGTTATTATGGCTATTAATTTCAAAGTATATGTTTACAAAAGTTGAATTTTTATCATAATGTATGAATCAGCATTCCAAGGTTATGCTCGGAAACTTTGCACCGCTATCAAGGGATGCATCGGATTACTATTGCGAAAACATCCGAATGAATATACCCTTTATGCGTTTTCCTCTCTGCAAAGGCATGACTCACGTTGCAACTTCGCAATTACACTACAAGTTACCTTTTGTTGCCGATTCAGTTTTTTTTTTTTAGAATAACAAAGTTCAAACAAAGTTTCATTTTTAAATAGTTTTTACTCCACTGTCACTTGAGATAAAATACTATAATTAATATCACGGCAAGTCATATTATCTTTCCTTAAAGATTCTCGGCGTGTAATTCGGAAATAAAGTAAAAGTTTATTCTCAATAATACATGACGCGAATATAACGCAGAGTATAAGAAGAAAAACATGTAAATCTCCCGTCTTCCTTCGCATAGTTCAGCAATACGTGATATCCTGACGTTGATCGTGCGATTTAACCGATAGAATATTAATCAGGATATAAGTGTGCATAAGTGTTGTTAAATAACAGTAAATTCCGTAGTCGGTTAGGTCAGTCTCCTCGGTCATTGCTGCTTGTCTAATCCGCCTAAATCTAGAAACATGAGGTACTTTGGTAATTCTCGCGTGACTTACGTCGGACTCCTTTGCGCAATAGTAATTTGCGACGATTGTCAGATTCTTTGCTCGAGTGCTCTGGACATCGTATAAAATCGTTCTCTTATATAAATACTACAGTTTTCAAGTTTTAACAATCTCAAAAATACAAATCCAACCAGAACCAATATTAGGTGCTCTGCGAATTCAAATTCTTTATTAAATAACAAATTAATTAAACGTTTCGATCTCTCGCTTTTGGATTACCTTCAATAATTAATTAACAAAGAGAATGATAATGCCAATTTCCTTTGCTGATTCAATCTTTGGAGCCTTTTTTAATTTTAAATTTTTAATTATTGTTCAATAATCTAACAAAAATGAAAATATGTCCGAAATTACATTGGTGTTTGTACTTTCGACATTCTCTGGTGCCTTTTGTTATTCTTGTTTTAACAATCTCGTCTTGTTTTAAAATTTGGACTTGTTTTATTCGAATTAACGAATATATATTCTTATATTTTCTTTATGTTAAATATCTCGAATTTGTGTGTAACAAATGCACGTAGGAATTAAGAATACACGTACTTTCGTGCAGTGACCCGAGGGTAAGAACAAAATCAATACGGTTCGGAGGTAACCCCGAAAGAATGCACGCGAAGGCAAATTGATTGGCCAACCCTCCACGCAACGGTATTATCCTACTACATTAGAAACGATTGCTTGTCAAGATCGCCATTTTACGTGAATCTAGAACGCGTGAGAGGAGTAGACAGCGCTTTCCGTGCTCGATATAAGGGATGAGTCATCCTTAAAGAGGTAATCTGCACTTCGAACGTAACGTCATCCGAATTGGCTCTAATGATGATCTTCTGCGGGTCGTATCATTCTTGCGACACGCGCTTCTTCTCGTTTGAGAAGAGCACGTCTTGTGTAACATCGGATCAGTATATTTTAAATGAATTAGAAATATGTCACGTACAATTGGCATTCGCACATTATCAAACGATAAACGATGAGTGTATTGATAAAAATCGACTTGGGCACAAAATTGTGTGACGGTGTAGAGACATTTTTCGCCTGTGCATAATTATACGCAAACGAGTGAAACAAGACCGACAGACAATCAATCACCTGAGGGCATCGATAAATTTACACGCGGATAAGGAAAAGTCTCCTATCTATAGTTATTCACTTTCGTAGAACAAAACTCGTAAAACAACGTCAATGTTACATTATGATACTAAACTTAAAAACTGATTCTTTCCGAAATGGCACGAAAACTTTTTGCCTGCAATTTGGTTTCGCGACACAATATCTTAATTTCGTGTCAACAAGAAAATAACGATGTACTTTGTTCACCAAAATAGTGAGAAAAGTATTCGAATGTAATCTTCTTACGGATTCTTTAAATTCAAATAAAATATGGATCACAAAGGGCGAGTGAGAGTACAAGGTTGTCGACGGTACGCAAAATAATAAACTAGATGCTCTTATATATATATATTACTCCCTTATTCCATCAGTTAATATAATTAGTACGTTTCAGATTTACAAATTGAGAAAAGTTGAATGATATCTACACTGTTAAAAATGTCATGAAATTTAATGTACTTTTAAGTTACATAAATTAAATTCAATTTTATGACACTAAATTAAATTTAATGTATCTGCAACTAAAAAGTATATTTGTGTACATATGTACATGAAATTTAGTGTACTTTTCATAAAATTTTGCGAAGTTTAGCATTTTTTAAATTAAATTTTATGTAGATTTACGTGAAATTTAATATAAGTAAACGTTAAATTTCTGTTATTTATAGCTTCATTTCCATTGACAACATTAAATATGTTTAATGTACCTGCTTGAAATTTGCTTCCGTTACATATAACGGAAGCAAATTTCTGTTTTTTTAACAGTGTATGTATAAGATATGTACATACGTTGCATTAACAAACTCAAGAGAGATGCATTAAACAGTATGTTTAAAAAATTACAGAATTACCTAGCGCAATACGGATATTTGCCGCCGATAAATCCGGAAAAAGGTGCTTTTTTAAGCGGGGATAAGCTGACGGCTGCGATAGAAGAATTCCAAGCATTTGCTGGTCTTAATATAACAGGTATGTTAAATTTTATTTACTTCTCCAAACTTATTTTTAAACATATTGCATATTATATACATATATGTATATATATGCGTGTACATTATATCATGTACTAGACATCACGTCAATAAACAAGAATAGATTAAAATGGATTGAAACGGATTCAGATTTTCAAAGTACACATTCACGAACGTTAAACTGAATCCTTTTCAATCCCAATATATTTTTATTCATTTATAGAAATTGCATGAAGTACATTTCTTGCCTTTTAATCTAAAAGAAATTTCAATTTTTTGAGTGCATTGAGAATATTGCTAAATTCAAAATTCTGAATAGGAAACACAGTTTTTTAATCCGATTGAATCTTAAAAAAAGTGAAAACGGATCATGAAAGCTACTAAAATACGTATTCGGATGATTCAAATGGCTTAAAATTTCAATCCATTTTAATCCATTCTCGTTTATTGGGTACGTATACTTAGATGTACTTGAGTTTTTATCTAATATTATCAAGTTCTAACAAATAATGGTGATTCATGTGGAAAATTACGGAGAATCAGTTTAGTCAATGCTGCACATGAATGATTTAAAAAAGGGAAAAAGCAAAGCATAAAATTTTATATGAAAAAGCAAAGCATAAAATTTTATGTGTCTCTCCATGTTTACGTCCATGAAGAGACACGTAAAATGTCAAACCGCTTGAGAAACGATAACAGCGACTCCCTGTCAGTGCTTCCCCTGTCGATTTAAACTATTAATGATAATGAATAGTGATGATTCAGGGATTCGGTGAAACGTAACCGAACTCAACCTGACGCTTCAATCAATGAGTCATATCACTGTAGTGTCATATTAGCGTAATGGCCCTGTCTCACAAATAATAATTTTGAAAAATACGTAACAAGTTTTAAAGTCGTAAAAAGTTGTCTTGCCATCATGATCAATAACTATACGGGCACTTTCTGATAGCGTCAAGTTAATGCAAATAAATAAATATAGAAATCATATAAAAAAGTTACTCGAAGAAATAATGGAAAAGATCAACAAGCAAGCTTCGTCGGTCATTATAGTGTGATGCTATATACGAGAGTCCATGAACAGGGCGAAACAGTAGAATCCAGTGAAGTAGTAGAATCCAATAAAAACCGAAGGTGAACGGAAGAGTGATCTAACTGTAAAATTGTAGGTCATCGGTGGCGGCATTATTCGAGATGAAGCGTGTTTATCGGCCATAATCTGCGTCGTTAACGCATTTGCAAATGCTGATGAACGTAACTCACAAAAAGAAATGCAATGAAAATGTATACACAAACCATGTAACTTTTATTTAAATTTTTATTAGAAATTTAAAAATGCCTATTACGGACGAAGCTGGATCTTTATTGCTTTAAATAATTCAATCTTGAATTACTAATATACACTATATATGTACTCGCATATATACAGTGCATTTATAGAAACTACTAAATGAAAAGTACGATAATAAAAATTACAATTTTTAGAATGATTTTTTGTGATACAAAATGTATCATGAAATTCTCGCAAGATTGGAACAATATAATTTTTATCGCATCGTTGCCGGTGTGCACCGGCAACCTTTGCGCGCCGGCAACGATGAATCTGTAAATGTCAAATCGCGTGACTGCGCTGAAAAGTAGTGGTAGCGTATGCACAGGTACTCCCGCATACTACATTATGTACTATGTTATATGTACTACTGTGTGTCTATTATGCATGCATGAGAAATTAATACATGCAGGGTGCGAGAAAAATACACGCGTATACGCGTGCATGTAAAAAGGCACAGATGTACTTAACACGAAAATACATCCTCCGCTTCGTATCGACATTGTTAAACTATACTCTAACAATCAATATACGCGAAAATCGGAACATATACAATAATTATTTTTATCACGCGATTATACTTAAAGGATGATAAGAGCCATAAAATGCAGAGTACCGATTTTTGTAAAGACTATTATTTGCGTATCCTCGATTTTACAAGAATAAATAATTTTACAACAATAAATAATAATTCATGAATTTATCTCGATACTTTTTATTACAGGTGAATTAAATGAAGAAACTGCTGAACTTATGGCTACACCAAGATGCGGTGTTAAAGATAAAGTTGGACCAGCTGCCGATGGAAGATCGAAGAGATACGCTCTTCAAGGTGAGTAAAATAGTCGATGTATAAAACTTTTAATCGAAAATTCAATAGATTTCATCACTTTGCGCGACTAATCGATAATTGACAAATTGAAGAAACTTTAATGCAATCGAGAGTATAAACGTAACCGCGAGACGTGACACAACTTTTTTTTGATCGATCGCGATCGATTATCTAATCGCGACGCGGGCATTCTCTATCTCGAAACTCGAAGAAAGTCTATAACGTAAAATATAATGTCGTAAAACGGAAAGTTGGCTACGTTAACACATAGATCACATCACACACACAGCGATCCTCGCGAAAACGTACTAGGGCTGCATTCGGAAATATCACCCGACAGAAAAAAACTATTCTTACATCAACCATAATATATTCATATACACTGAACCAAAAATGTACGTAAATACAATAAAAGTATTCATTGGTATTAATAAAAAATTCATTAAAATTGGTCCAATGAACAATTTTATTCCTA